CCTCCATACTGTCTTCTATAATGGCTGTACCAATTTACATTTCCCTGATAATTGGTGAAGATGAACACCTTTCCATCTAGCTCTTGGCCATTTATATGTCTTCTTTTGAGAAGGGTTTATTCAGACCCTTTGCTCATTTTTTTATTGGGTTATTTGATTGTTTTCAATTGAGTTGTATGAGTTCCTTATATTTTGGATGCTAATCCCTTATCATATATATGGTTTGCAAATTTTTTCCCTTTTTATTTTTGATCATTGCTTTTTCACTGTGTTGACTGTTTCCTTTGCTATGCAGAAGCTTTTTGTTGGACACATTCCCATTCATCTATTTTTGCTTTTGCTGCCTGTGCTTTGGTGTCATATCTGAAAAAAAATCATTACCCAGACCAATGTCCAGAAGCTTTTCCTCTACATTTCCTTCTGGTAGCTTCATGGAATGAAGAAAATTAAAGAAGACAAAAAAAGAAGACAGAAATAAACAGGAAGACATTCCATGTTCATGATTTGGAACAAAACAATATTGTTAAAATGTCCATACTACACAAAGTGATCTACAGATTCAGTGTAAACCCTCTCAAAATCTCAATGACATCCTTGACAGAAATAGAAAGAAAAAAAAAAACAATTTAAAATTCACACAGAACCACAAAAGACCTTGAATATCCAAAGCAACTTTGAGTAAAGAACAAAACTGAAAGCATCACATTTTTTGACTTCAAAATATATTACAAAGCTACAGTAATCAAAACCTTATGGTACTAGCTTTAAAACAGACATATAGACCAATAGAACAAAACAGAGAGCCCAAAAATCAACCCACAAATCAACGGTCAATTGATCTTGGACCTTTGACAAGTATGCCAACAACACACAATGGGCTAATAAAGGGCTTTGGGAAAACTGAGTAGTCACGGTTTTGAGCAAACAGGAGCATATAGAGTGGCTAAACTCCTAAAAACAGTACTATACTGGGGGTATAGAATCTTAAGCTAGTATCAAAGTGTTGTTGCTTTAACTGTAACTCTGAATTTAAGCCAGGATGTTCAATGATGAGTGAAGTTGTCCCAGGTCAGAGATAAATCGTGGATCTCAGTAGAAGTAGACAAAAATCACCTCTGCAAGAAGAATCCTCTAACTAAGCCCATATGGTTCGTACAGATGAAGATCAAATACTGATCCCACAACCACAGATAATCTAACACATTAGGAGGCAAGTCAGCATGACAATAACAACAATATTTAGAAATTTAGAGCCCAAGTATAGCTGTTTGACACTGAATATAAATTACTGTCTGTGCTGTTTAAATTAAATAAATTAAAATTAAATAAAACGCAAAATTTAGTTCCTCAGTCATACTAGCCATATTTCAAGTGCTTAATAGTCATATGTAGCTAGTGACTATCATATTGGGCAGCACAGATATAAAGCATTTTTATTATGACAGAAAACTCAATTGAACAGTGCTGGTTTGGATGTTTATGTAAGAATCAAAAAGATGAACAAACAATAACAGATTGTCAGAAATTATTAGATTTTTGTCCACTGACTATTAAGTATACATTTTAATGTGATTTGACAAATATATGTTATGTTACTAACATAAAAATCAATATATAAAATATTTCTATCTCTCCTACAAGTGCTCTTATGCCCATTTAAAGTTTATCTCTTAACCCACAACCCCATGGTAACCACTGATCTGCCTTCTGTTACAATAATTTTGTGGGTTTTTTCCTACTAGAAATTCACATTAATGGAATCACATAGAAAAGGGTCCTTTGTGTCTGACTGTTTTTATCTGCCATAATGCTTTTGAGATGTTTCTCTGTTGCTTCATGTATCAGTACTTCATTCCGTTTTACTGCTGAATTGTACTCCATTGTATGAAAATACCATAATTTGTTTATTCATTCACTAATTGATGGAAATTTGAGTTGTTTCTGGCTCAGGGCAATTACTAATAAATCTGCAATGAACATTCACATATATATCTTTGTGTGACATATATCATTTCTCTTGTGTAAATACACAGAACTAGAATAGCTGAAAAGGTAAGTATATGTATAACTTGATAAGAAACTGCCAAACTACTTTCCAAAGTGGCTGCACCATTTCACAAGCACCAGCAATATATGACATTTGGAGTTTCTCCACACCATTGACGGCACTTTGTATTGTCAGTCTTCTTCATTTTAGCCATTCTAGTGGATGTGTGGCGGCAACTTGTATGGTATTAATTTGCATTTCTCTAATGAATAATGACATTGAGCCTCATTTCCTGTGCTTATTTGCCACTCACATATCTTCTTTGGAGACGTTTCTGTTCAAAATTGCTTCCAGTTTTAAAAAGAAAAAAAAATGAGCTGTTCATTTTCCTCTTATTCAGTTGCAGGAGTTATTTATATGGTCTAGATATAAGTCCTTTATCAGATTTATGTTCTGAAAGTATTTTCTCCCAATCTATGGCTTATCTTTTTTGTTTCTTAACTGTAGCTTTCACAAACCAGAGATTTTAATTACACTTAATTTCAGTTTATTAACTTTTTTCTTCTGTGATTCATACTTTTACTGGTTCTCTAAGAAATCTTCAACTAATCAAATATAGTAAAAATATTTTTCCTATATTTTCAAGAAGTTCTATAGTTTTAACTCCTCTGTTCACGTATATGATAAATTTTGAGTTAATTTTGTGAGATGAAGATAAAGGATAATTTTCCCGTAGATATTGTTTCTGAATTCTGAATCACCTTGTCTTATGTGCTGAACTATATATTTACTCCACTACCACTTTGTTTTGATTACTGTGGCTATTTAGCAACTATTAAAATATGGTGGTCCAAATCCTTCAACCTATTTTTCAAAAATTTTTAGTTTTTCTAAGTTCTTTTACATTGTCATAGAATTTTAGCATCAACTTGTAAATTTTACATCAACAAGAATAAGCCTGCTAGGATTTTTAAAGAAGCCGTGTTGGATTTATAGACCAATTTGGGGAGAAGTGCCAACTTAAGTCTTTCATTCAATGAACACTGCTTATCAATATATTTATTAAGTATTTTTACATTTATTTCAGCAATAATTTATAGGTTTCAGTGAACAGCTTTTGCTAAGTGTATCCCTAATTACAATCTCAGTTACCATGGAGCTGTGCAAAGCAAGGAAATGCTTCCTATTCGCATGAATTTCAGTGAAGATGATACCATACAAATGACTGTCAGTATTTCAAATGCCTTTATGTTATTGTAAAAGGTATTTTTTATTTTAATTTCCAGCTTCTTGTTGCCTTCTATAAAAATTCACTTGATTTCTCAAACTGACCTTGTGTCCTACAGCCATGGCAAATCGACTCACTACTTTTGTTTTGTTTTGTTTTTTGTATATTCCTTTCAAGTTCTCTGCATACATGATATATTTTCTGTGAATAAAAATAATTTTACTTGTTTATATTCAAGTTTATGCCTTTTGTTTCTTGTTCTTCCCTTATTCCACTAGCTGGAACATCCAGTAGAATTTTGAATATAGGTGATGAGAAGAGATATCCTTGCAATAGTATGGAAAAACATTCCATTTTTATTACAATGTGTAATGTTAGCTATAAATATTTTATATTGTCTTTTTGTCAGATTGAGGAAATTCCCTTCGATTTTTAGTTTGCTAAGGTTATACTGAGATCTAAATAGCTTATTGTTTTCATGTGTTTCTATTTTTTGTTTCCTTTTCTTTTCTTCTGGATTATTAGAATTTTTTTATAAATTCCATTTCAATGTTATCTATTTTTAGCTACACTTTTTTTTCAATTATTTTTGAAAAGATGAAAGATTAGAAAAAAATATCCTCTATGTTATTCACATACTTACCATTCCTGGCATTTCTCATTCACTCTTGTTTTTTTCTCTTGCTCTCTCTCCCCCTCTCCTTCTCCAGCTCCCTCCAATCTGTCATTCCCATTCCAAATTTCAAATTCTAGCCTCCTCAGCCTCCAAGAATTTTTTTTTTAATTTATTTGACAGAGAGAGACACAACGAGAGCGGGAACACAAGCAGGGGGAGTGGGAGAGGGGGAAGCAGGCTTCCCGCAGAGCAGGGAGCCCGATGCGGGGCTGGATCCCAGGACCCTGGGATCATGACCTGAGCCAAAGGCAGACGCTCAACGCCTGAGCCACCCAGACGCCCCAGCCCCCCAGAATTTTGATCTTTGTTCTTTCAATTCATCTGTCTGTGCTTTGTGTCAGTTCCTCCCCTTGCACTGTAATCAGGACATCACCTTCAGTTCATGTCATTTGTTTCTCTTTTCTCAGAGATCACAGTCCTGTCCTTCCTCTTACTGTCCATTGTCTGAAAACCATTATTTCACTTGTTTTCCAGTTATTTGTCCACTTACTGACAGTGGACAGCAATTGCCATGGCAATTAATCCTTCAGAGGCAGAAACTGATATTCATTTATTGCTTTTAGACCTGACTTCTAACTTGATATTAAGATCATGACCATTGCTCTCACTTTGTCTTAGATAGTTCTCTGGTACACAGTCCAGAATTGCCCTTTTCATTGTGATCCTTTCTGAAGTTGTCATTTAATAGATGTATTGAGACAATTTTCATTTGTTAAAATGGCAAACACATTTGATTTTAGCAGTTTGGTTTTATTTGTTTTGTTTGCTTGTTTTTTAAAGTCTTTTTCATGTTTGGTCTGTTTCTCTGTTCTTGATATTTGTGTGTATGTGTAATTCTTATATTTATGAAGTGTTGTTGCTATTGTTCTATTATGACTAGCTTTACAATTTTACATGGTATGTTTAGTCTCAATGTATAGAATATTAATTTTGTATTGTGAGCAACATTAAAATTAACTTATTTCCTCTCCCTTTCTTCCCCTCATCATTGTCTATTAGTAAGATATTCTTCCTAATTTAGTACCTTTGTAATGATGAAGATGCTTATATTTGATCTGTTAGATTAAATAATATACTTTGAATCCCATCTACTAGAAATGAGGCCATCTAGCTTTGCGCAGTGGCAGTATCGTAGCCAATGAGGTTTATCCGAGGCGCGATTATTGCTAATTGAAATGAGGCCATCTAAGAAACTACTTAATCCCTTACCTTACTTACTCCTGTTAAATTAATTATATAAGGACTTCATTAGACTGAGGTGGCTCTAATGTTGTGGCAGACTACGTAAACAAACAAAATCCAAGCCTATTAATACCTCAAAGTTATGATATCAAAACCTAAAGACAATGGATCACCAACAGCCAACTAAGCTCTTAGCTACAGCAAATCAAATCATTTTCTGTCTTTAATTCCATAATTTCTCTATATGTCTTTCCCCTAGCTTCTGTCAACAGAGCACTCCTAATGAGTTCTGCTTTGGCACTGCCCCATTCTAATCCATTTTTGCTCAAATAAACTCAAAATTTTCCATATGCAGGCGCCTGGGTGGCTCAGTTGGTTAAGCAACTGCCTTCGGCTCAGGTCATGATCCTGGAGTCCCGGGATCGAGTCCCATATCGGGCTCCCTGCTCAGCAGGGAGTCTGCTTCTCCCTCTGACCCTCTTCCCTCTCGTGCTCTCTATCTCTCATTCTCTCTCTCTCAAATAAATAAATAAAATCTTTAAAAAAAATTTTCAATATGCCTCAGCTTATCTTTTAATACCTCACTCACTCCCTACCAAATATGGTCAGACATGCCATCTCTACTTGGCCATGACATACAACATTTACATTCTATTTTATTCTCCTAATCCACCCATTATAGATGTAATTCTACAGTTAAATATTTTCAATTCTTGTTGCCAGCCCTTTACTCATGGTATCCCCAGTCATGTCTTAGCCATGTAGTTTGTCCTCCAGCAGTTTCTCAAGCAAGGCTCATGTAAAAACCTTTTTTCCTAAGTCCTACATGTTCAGTAGAGCATGACTATGACCTTTATAGCTGACAAGCAATTTCACATGTTTGTACTCTTCAGAACATACTTTTTTCTTTTTGTGTATATGTTTCTTCATTGTCTGCTGATGTTGAATGTTGGTGAAATGAAATGTGAAGCCAATCTGACATTTTGCCCTTACAAGAGATTTGGTATTTCTCCTTAGAAGCTCAAAGTTTCCACTTACCCTGGTGTCCATAATTTTATTAGGCTGTGTCATGCTCTTAACCTGGGTCAATTTTTCCTGGCACATACCCTTTCTCCATGTGTAAATTTAGCTCTTGTATTTCAGGGAAGTCTTTTCTTGAACAATGTATTTGCTATTTGTTCTATTTCATTATTTTGCAATTCTTCTTTGAGGTATTCTCCAGGATACATTTGGTTTCTTCAGGGACGAAACTGATAAATTAAATGGAGGTATTGTGGGGATGACCCCTAACACATCCTTTAAATCTCTGAACATGGCACTAGTTTCTATGCCTACCCCCACAGTGTAATTTTATATTTTTGACTTAACTACCTTGGACAGAGTTTGCTTAGTTCCAGAGGCTTTTACTTGGCCTCTCACAGCGTGATAGCTCTTACCACATAAGCCTCAGGCCCAATGTGGGGTCTGCACAACTACCAATGTATGTCTGTCCCAATTATATATTCAGGTACCAAGGAAATGATCAGAGAATATGTCTGCAATAGCCCCACTGTGAATAAGATCATGGCCAGGACCCTATCCATTATCTAGCCCCTACATGCTCCTATTTTAACAAGGAGACCATGACAACTATTTGGATCTCTGAGTATGAATGTCAACATGAACAAGAGTCCTCAAAACTTTCCCCTTTCCCAAGTGTATAGTTACTCAAGTGAATAACTGTAGGTTCCTTTGTGGAAGAACATGAAGATTTTTGACCATGTACATGTGGTAGTGCATATACCTTTCCCTGGGGACATAGCCTTTTCTTCAATTTATAGATTACAGGTCTGAAATTGGTTGAAGTCTGAAAACGGGGCAGGGATTTTGACTTTTTATTGGGGCAACTGCCCTTAACCTCCTGATCATCCATCCTTTAATTCTTCAGATAGTTCAAGCTGATTGGTATTCTTTCTGATTACCCATCTATTATGATCCCAGTGACATCATTCTCCATGGGTGAGGCCCTCTTGGCTGTCATTTGGACTTTGCCCCCCATTATATTCATTACAGCTATCACACTTTGGACAGTTAAGCTCCACCTATCATCCCACAAGTTCTGTATCTGGATCATATTGTCCTTATTGTTATCAGTGAGATTAGTTAGGTAGTTGACTCTCCTACTATAAAACTTGAGCAACAGAGGAAAACAATCATTGAACTTCTTAATGATTCCAATGCCTTTTTTACCAGTGCTAGCCTTATGACCTTGGTAAATGGTGTATCCCCTGAACATTCCCATAAAACACAATAACTGGTGGGTCTTCCAATATTCGATAGCATATTCGCATCAGCATGCATACTCCTGAGTGTTTTTATCCTTTCTTCCATTGCCTGACATAGATATTTTAGCATTTTAGTCTCACTTAAGATAGCCACAGCATGTTTGCACATATCTCTTGTGATCTTTGGCAGAATGTGAAATCCTGCATTTCAAAAGAGTACCCCCAAATCAATAAACTTCCCCTTATTTGATTTGTGTCCTGACCCCTTTGACAAAGCATCTTCAGGGTCCAGTCTGCATGCATTCCCCAATTCCTGAGGCTAGGACTTGTATTCCTTTGTGGTAGAGATACTTTCCTTCCTTGTTGTTCTTTATACTTGGCTCTGATTCAGTTATGCTATGAATTAGTCCTAGGTATAGTAATAGAAGAAGTAGGAATATATCCCCAAAATGGCTCAGATGTCTTGTTGAGGAAAGAAATCTGCATGACTTTTTGAATAAAGTTGCTGCAATGCTGATAATTCTCTCAGCAACTTGTGTTTGCCACTGTATGGCTCATGCTCCATTTATGCTACTTTTGACTACCTTTACAGATAAAGAATTTTGTCTATTTTATTTTTCATTCTTTTTGCTCTCAATATTTTCCATGGAGAGAAACTGAAGATTCTGGTTTATGCAAACATATTCAACTCAAAGTTCACATACTTTTAATATAATAACTTGGTTTCAGGCAATTCAGTAGAATTTGAAAAACATGCATTTTTATGAATATCTGTATATGTCCATGTATTGCCTATGATTATTGATATTAGGACCTTTTTTGAAGATTTGGAAACTATAGCTGAGTCATCTGGAATTCATACTAAAACAGCAGGAAGCCCAGCAGTATCTAGACAATATTTGCAAATTTAAAGGAAGATAAATATTTTATTTTACAATCGTTTTGGAAGCTAATCCCCCATTATCTTTTAAAATTAGAAGTACACAAAACCTTTGATCTAGTAATCCCCCCTTTGGGAATCTACCATACACAAAATATATATTGGCACAAAGTATTTACTAAAGCATATTTATGATGGCAAAAATCTGGAATCAACTATAATATCCATCCACAAGAGAATTGTTTAATAAACGACTATATATCCATGAGAAATAACATGTAGCTTTTAATAGGATATAGTTTTATATCCCTAAATTGGAAGGATGACCATGATATGTCATTAAATGAAAAAAGCAAATTATAGAGTAGTGTGCAGTATAATTCCATTTTTGTAAATATATGTACAGAATAAAGAGAAGCACACTAGGTTACATTATAAAATGATATTGGAGCATAAGTGGATAAAATAAATGGATACAATTACTCATTTCTTCTTTAAACATTTTTTAATTAGTGTACTTGTTGCAACAAGTATGCATTACTTATCCAACTAAAAAAACTAAATAAAGAAACATGTGAAAGATTAAAAAAAAAAAAAAAGAAGGATGGGAAGTAGTCTCAGAACATTCAAAGAATATACAAGTACCAAGTTCTGGGAGTTTAACAGGGCACTAATGATATTAGAGGAAAAAACAATAAGTTGACTTTAAATCTCAACCTATTTTCTCCACATTTTCTATTTTTCTGCTATTGTTTGCATCTATTAATAGCCATCAATTAACTTGTTCAGCAATCTGTTATGATTATTTGGAATGGCACAAAACCAAAGGATGAGACTGGTACACTCAATGTTCTGACTAGGCTGGTATGTTTGAGTTATTTGTCTCTTGTTCATATAAGACATTTAAACAAGAAACATGTTAATTCAGTCATTGTTTGATCGTGAATGAAGTCTTCCTCTCCTTTATGATCCTTGAGGGACATTCCAATTCTAATATCCTCTCTTTGAGATGGCATCGACGTATACAATTTATACAACCAATCCTCTCCCCACCCCTCAAGTTTTATGAGCTGTAAACAGAGGGCAGCAACAACAAGAAGTCTTTCTTCTTACGGAGTGTATGTTCTTGTGGAGAAATACACACATAAATATAGAGTATAAGTGTCAAGAAAAAATGAGTGCAGTGACAGAAGATAGTCCAAAGTAAGAGGACAGAGAATAAACCAGGTATATTCTTTGACAGGGTTGTCAGGAAAGATCTCCCTCCAAGGAATTCACATTTGAGAAGAGCCCCAGAGGAAAAATTATAGCAATTCATAGGACTATCTGTGGGAATAACTTTTGGAGAAAAGTTAGCATCAAGTGCAAAGGCCCTAACAGGAATGGATGAACCACTATAATCATATGGAAACCTTAGCCTTCATAGGCCTGGAGAGACGGCAGGAATTAGCATGTTAAAAGTACCACTGCCAAACTGATGAAAATGGTGGCCAGAGCAGGACCTGAGGCAAGGTGAGGGTTGGTCCAGATATTGACACACAGCAGCTTCTCTCAAGTTTAGCCCTGGCTCAGAAGTCAACCAAGGTCTGGGTTCTAATTCAACCAGCACCACCACTCTAGGAAATATATTTAACGTTTCCTACCTGTAAAATATAAATGATAATACCAGTATTCTGACTGCTTCATAGACCTATTTAAAGAGTCAGAACAAAGCACTTAGAAGTCACTGAAGTGCACCCAACATTGGGGTACTAAATATATAAAGCTAATAGAACTATAAGAAGAAATAAACAGCAATACAATAATAGTTGGAAACTTTAATATCCCACTCTCAACAATGGATATATCATCCACACAGAGAATCAATAAGGAAACAGTGTATTTGAAATACCACTATAAACCAAATGGACATACACAGAACATTCCATCCA